GATGTCACTATATTCCACACAAACGTTTACACAAAATTAAATTGGTTTCGTCGGATCACACTGTGAAAAACAAGATCAATCATATTCGCATCAGCAAAATATTCAGCAGGTCAATGGAACATGTGAAAACCAGCTAAGGAGCTGACATTACTTCAGATCACCACCACCAACTCGTCGTTGTAAAGATGAAACTGAGGCGAAAGAAACACTGGACAACTGGACAAACAGCATTACGAAGGTTCAATACACAATTCCTTCAACACACTGACAAAATCAACCAATTCAACATAGCTCTCAACAACAGGTTGCAAACACTACATGATCTACTCAAAGAAGAGAAAACTACGATGGAGGACAATTGGAAAGAGGTCGAAGATACACTAACTTCAACGTGTCAGGAGGTTCTGGGTCGCAACAAGCATCATCGTCATCATCATCATCATCATCATCATCATCGTAGGGAATGGATCTACATCGAAACCGTGGACAAGATTCAAGAAACGAAGAACAATAGCGTAACAATTAACAACAGTCGAACGAGAACACAGAAAGTCAACACACAAGCTGAATACACTGAAGCAAACAAGAGAGTGAGCATTAGAGCATTACAGCTGACAAACAGAAATACAAGGAACACTTGGCAGTGACAGAGGAAAATGATGCAAGAGAAGGGAATACCAAACAACTATATGACACGACGAAGAAACTGGTAGGGAAATGTGGTAAACCAGAAAGACCGGTCAAAGACAAAGAAGGAAAGCCGAACCGGATGAAGGACTCAGTAAGTGCACAGCCTCGAGATCAACAGGTTGGATTCCATAAGGATTAGTCATGCACACACCAAATCACCACAATACGCATCATCGTTGAACTATCAATCGAATAGAACTCGTCACTTCACAGATGATGACCTGGCAATTCCACCCCATACACACGATCAAATTCAGATGAAGACAAACAGTGTAGCAGAATCCTCTACATCATTAGGTCTCAACATACACAAGGAAAAAGCAACATCCTCAAATACAACACAGAGAACACCAATCCAATCACACTTGATGGAGAAACTCTGGGAGATGTGGAAATTCCACGTACCTGATCAGCATCATTGATGAACAATGAGGATCCAATGCAGACGTAAAGGCCAGGATTGACAAAACAAGGATCGCGTTCCTACAACTGAAGAACATCTACAGCTCAAAACAACTATCAATCAACATCAAAGTCACAATCTTCAAGACAATTCTACTGTTAGGAGCTGAAACTTGGATAGCTACCACAATCATCATCATCATCATCATCATCATCAAGAATGTACAAGTAGTCATGAACAATTGTCTACGCACGATACCGAATGTCCGTTGGCCGGATACCATCATCAATTGCCTACTGTGGGAGAGGGCAAATCGGATTCCAGCTGCGGAGGACATTAGGAAAAGACGTTAGTAGTGGGTTGGACATACATTAAGGAAATCATCAGGCTGCATCGTGAGACAAGCGCTAACTTGGAATCGTGAATTGAAACAGACATGAAAAGGACGAATATCAACTGGAAACAACTGTAAATGTTTGGTCAGTACAGAGTTGAACGGAGAGTGTCGGTGGGCATTCTGTGCTCCTCTACGATGGATATCGGGAGTTAGTAATGGACTCTAAACAAACAGGATCATTTATTATGTAGGACACATCATTAAGCCCATTTTCTTCAGCTTCCATTCGAATACATTTGTCAGGAGAACTGATACGGGTTTACTATTTATCAGTATTTTTGTGAGGAAAGGAAAGCTTCTGACAGTTACTTGTATGTAAGTGTTTCGTTGTTGGTAGGTCATGATGGAATATAGTGTATTAATAATCAATAACGACTTGGTAAGCAGCTTACATTCACCTCAAATCCTTAGCATTACCTATGTAAGACCACCCTTGCAGACCTTGAGGCAATGGACAACCGTTTCTTTCTATTATGCGACTCAGCAGTGCACATCCATGATACTGGGCCTCGGACGGAGGACTTTCGGTCTCTCACGTGAAATCTTAGCCTCTAGACCACTGAGTCGGTATCCTTCGGTTCTAATGTTAACCATGTCGAGTATGAGGCTGTTACCCACTGAAGACAATCGAAAATGGTCGCAGAATAATATGGATTGTTTGAAAGACTAATCTTTGAAGTAAAACTTTATTCTACATACAAAATTCTTCTATCCATCTGTACTAGCCATAGGATTCACTGGTGTCGATATTAAATATCAACCAACTTTCAGGTTTCCCACATTCATATAGTTAATTTCATCAATAAAATATGCAGTTTTTTTACTTCATTATTTACAGATAAGTGAGGGTTATCCAAAAGAACTTTATTTAATATTTCTATTTTATTGGGACTGTTTCATAAACAAGATATATCTTGTGGATATGATATGTTTTAACGAATTACTACTCCTTCCGAATGGGCTCGAAGTTCAACAAGGTGCAATGAAGAAGTTAAATTTGAAAAAGGATCAGTGGTATGGTATTGCTATTAAGATTCAACACATAATAAAATACTTAGTTGTACAGTAACTGGGTCGATAAGCTCCCACACATCTATTTCATATCAACTTGACAAACAAGTACCAGACAGGTGTCTCATTACACGTGTTGTTTAATTAACGCATAGTTAATAAATTATCTTTAAATCCTGATATCTTGTAGACCCATTATTTTTGGTAATGGGTGCGTTTGATGCAGTTAGGTAGATCGGTAACAGTCAACTATAAACAAAATATTAGAAATTTTAATATAAATAATATCGATTAATTCTAGTTTATTCAAAGACATTTCGATACATAGGAATAGTAACTTTATTTAAACAAAAGTGAACCAAAAATTTGTACTTTTAAACAGTATTTGTTCAGTTATTTTTCTAAATTAACCTTTTTTTCAATGAACTACTAGTTACACAATCGTTTATGTTATTTCATTTTAAGTTGATTTTGTGTACAATTTAAAAATTATTCGTGTGAAAATTTACCTGCTATTGAAAAAAATAGGCTATATTTCGATCTTTTAGAAAAAAATGTACTATACGGGACAAATTCAAATGTAACTGGAACTGACAGTAAACGTGTGCTTTTAAGTATGGAAAAAAAAACAAGTTTGAAATGGTGCTTGTACATGTATGGCTATAACACTGTTAGACTAGATAAGTAAATCAACGAACTTAATTACAAGGAAAGTAGACTTGTTTATAGTAGCCTGAATTGTTGGATTTTAATGCTATATATCAGTGTTACAACTGATGTTGTAGGTGTTCTTTTCTGTTTTGAGATTCATCAATCGGATGAACTGGACCTCTGTGAACTTTTTAATTTAAGACTAAACATATCACCTAGTACTTAGGAAGCTGAATAAATTCCTGTCAAGTCATAGAGCAACTTATAACAGTTGCTACTCGTTCAACAAATACTGTCATAAAAATTTACGCTTTCTCTCTGATGATCTTTTATAGAGCTGATATGACCTATATTTGTCTTATTTTGGTTCTTTATAAAGATTTCGATATTATGTGGTTAGATTTTAATCAAAGTTACTTTCCCTTTGCTTATTTCCTAGTGTTCACATTGTTTTGACGATGTAATTCCTGTCACATCCGTACTGCCTCAAAGTTAGTAACGTGGATATTTGGTGATCTGCATTCAAATATACATTTTGAAATGCTTCATACATCCTATTGTTGTATTGTGTCCTCATATACAACCATTTTTCTTTTATTCCTTACCAGTTTTCTACCACAAGCTTTAATCTCCTTCCTTACTTGACGATATCTATAGCTAATCACTCACCCGGAAACTAATGAAATCCAGGGACATAACATAAGAATTTTTTAAAATTAAACCAATTGTAAAGAAATACTTGAGGGAACAAACTTCTTAAGCAAAAGAAGTGTAAGTTAGCATCGTCTCCAAATGATGCGTAAATCTGAGCAAGTGAGAGGCTACTAAATTGGTTGAAAATATTGACATAAATTAACAGAAAGTAGCAAAAACTGGGACAACAGTCTAGATAAGTTTTCCCGTATGGACTATTCTATACGAACAACTTGAAGGAAGTGTTGAATTTGTCAAAAGTTGGTGGTGCTACCTTTACCACTACGGGATTTGAATCGACCACTGCATCTCTGTGCTAATGTGGTGTGGCAACTCGAACTGATGTACGTACGTACGAAGTTCTACGTTGTTACTGACTGACTGACTGACTGGTGGTGCGAAATTCCTAGATTTTTGTTCTTGTGAAATCTTGTCACGGTTTCCTCTATAAGGCTTAAATTACACTGTTATCTGTCCGATGACGGTAGTAGAATTGAGTATGAGCATAGAAGCTTTCTTTGGTGCTAATGATAACCTCGATAATGGACGACCACTGTTTACAGTTAATCTTTCAACAGTATAAAACAAATTTTTATTTACTCCCACTCATTTATGTGGTAAAATATTAGAAAGGTAGGTAGATTACGAAGTGACTCTTTAGATTTCCTGGAAAGGGACAAATATCTCAATCTCCATATTTTAGGGAGATGGCACAAAACCCTCAAAATTTCCCCAAACTTTCGGGAAAACTACCAAATTTCTTACGACTTGGGGAAAATCCCCAAAATTTAGCCGAAATAGGGACCAGACTAAATTTAACAAGTGATTTCAACCCAGTTAAATATCTTATTTTGTAGCTGTCAGAAACTGGTTAGTTTGGAAAGTAACATATACCATCCTTAGTTGTAACTTTCCCATGATGAGTATGGGATTTACGCCGATAACCACTAAATTGGTAATGTTCTACTTAGTGGCCACCGAACGTGTTGGACTACATGTTAGTAGATAGACACAACTGGAGTGACTTGACCTCAAATATATTTTTTAATACATACAGTAAATACATAGACATACAAAAAGTGACATGTATGATCGGTGAACAAAACAGCCGAAAATATGATTGGTGCATATGTTTTTGACCTTTCACTGTCTCAAGGTCAACTTATCTGCTTTGTTTCATATCTCTACCTCCAAACAATTCATTGGGGTGTTTCTTGATTTCTGCAGATGTATGGTAACGCTACCGGCTAAGGTTAGTTGGATATAACTGTGAATTCCGAATATATTAATCTTTTTCCTTGTGCAAATTTGCAAATACAGAATACTTAAACAATTGCACTTTGGTTACAAATGATTTCAGCGAATAGTTGAACTGCTATGAAAATGCCCAATCACAGCACACTTTATTTTTTGGTACTTTTTGTTTGATATTTGACATTTGGATCGACAATCAGGGAACCAGATCATAATCCTAGATGAATTCTTTTTATTAGTTAGTTGTCAAAAATATATTAGTTTTCGTTGCATTTCCTATTCGCTAGAGTGGTCTGTTTATTTTAATTCCTTCCTTGATATCGTCCTAGGAACAATATTCTATGACCTTCGAAGATCAATCCACCAGATGGTATTCCTATTTGTCATTTAGTCGTTTTCAACGTACAACGTGGATTTGATGTGCTTTGGCCCAAGTTGTTTAAGCAACACGCCCCCGAATGTCTTGGTACGGCCGGGGGTGGGTAGAGTTCGAAATGCTCTCATATGATCACATCTACACAGCCACTGCCAGGGAAGTCTTCCTCGCGGTGGGGGTGTTGTTTACGAAATCACAAGGACGAAAAGCAAATAACCGACGCTTTTACCGGGTTGGTGGACACAAAGAGTTCATCTAGAAGAGTTAGAAAACCTTGATTCTAAACTAATAGTGCACATAGGGAACAGATGGTGTATGAACGTACTGTTGGTCACCGGCTACCATGAGACTGCATCTACTAAAGTTGCTTCACTGCCTTGTAAATTAGACCTGTAGGTTAAAGGCTCGGGGTGTGATCCTTAAGGAATCCACCTCCTTCAGTTTAGGCGTCCGGGCAGTATCACAGCTCTCACGCATATCAATGATAACTACTACTGACCTTATTGTTATTGTGTGGCGCATATGTATTCGGTGCCCCTTTGTACACCAATATTTGTGTGTTCAAACATATAAACATGGCACAATGGGAATATAGATAAGTGCCGAAAGTTCCTTAGAAATATGAGGATAGAATTCTTTTCAGCTACCTTCGAATATTTCGGTAAAAAGCTTGCAAATACTTAGATGTGCATCTTCATCATCGGAAAAATTCACGTCTCGTTCGGAACTTGAACTTATATTATCACAGATAATTCATTTAAATACCACATGTTACGATATACATGGGTTGGTTGCATAATGATGAACAGTGGAGAGTTGTAACTCATGTGGTTGATTTTCATGGAGTTTTGTTCTCTGAGCTGGATGGTTTGGTCGTGGTCACGACCAATAATTTATCCACTGATTCTCGTTATGAGATAAAGTTTACTAATAAAAAATTTCACTATGGTTGCTAAGTTTAATAGTGTAATATACCAGTGGATTGTGTTAATAATTCAAGAAAAACTTAAAATTAGTTCACTTGATCCTTTTCAACTTCCACGACCATTGATTCCTAAAAATTGTATCGTCTAGAACTAATTAGTACCAGGATGTTCGGATTTCGTTTCTGGCACACTATAAGCAAACCGTTGCTTCAGGACTGGTTTTTGTCAATGATTAATGCGACCATAGGAAATGAAGTAGTTCAGTACAGTCACTATTTAACTTGTACGTTTTATCAACTCCAATGAGTTAGTTGCTAGCAAGGCTTTACAACGGTGCAGGAATCCCGCTACCTGTAACACAGGTATGGTCTGTTCGACATTCATATGATGCCGTAGTACTACCCGTATCTTTCTACAGCCTTGAAACTGCCTATAAAAGTAGGAGATATACTTCAGTTATAATTAGCTAATCACAGATACCTTTAGTGTGTTGTCCATATATGGTGAGACCAAGTGTGTAATTCTTCATCTACTGAGATTGTTGGGCTACGTATTGCGCATGGCTGAACGCCGGTTACCACGATGCTGACTAGTGTTAGAGATGAATGTAAGAAAGTTAGGGGCGGCCAAACGAAAACGTGGCATCAGTCCTTGAAGTCACTAACTTCTGGTCTGAGTCATGTTGGCAGATTCAGACTACTTAGTTGGGGTCCGCACGACTCGTAACTAATGGTTGAAGACTCTGGATGACATGTCTCAGAATCGACCACAATGGCGTAGGTGTATACACTCTGTCTTCTCTTAAACTGAGATTAATGTCGTTTCATATCTGTCTTTCCACGGACTAATTCTTTCTTCCTGTACTATGTTGTTATATACAATCTTTCTTTGATATATTACCACCACTGAATTAACTACTTCCATGAAACCGTTGTTCATCTTGTTGTGCTAATGAGGTATGGCAACTTTGACCGATGCATATATATGCCTGGTTCTACGTTGTAGCTGGCTGACATCCACTGTCCTGCACGAGGGACTGGAACCTACGAAACCCGACCTGGTGAGCGAACGCTTAACCTCCAGACCACTGAGCAGGTGTTCAACGGTGTCTAACTTCAGTCAATTCACAGCATTGAGCGACCATCTATTGTTTTTAATGGGTATCTGCTTACCACCCGACATAATAGTCCAATGTTGTTGATTGATTGAGGTTAGAAATTAACATCGTTGATACTGATTCAGTGGTCTAGAGGTTAAGTGTTCGCCCATTAGACCGAAGATCATGTGTTCGCGTTCAGGTTGCTGGATGTGCACTCCTTAGGAGTCCCATATTAAGACGAAACGGCCGTCCAGTGTTTCCAGATTTTCAATGGTGGTCTAACTTAAATTGGTCCGTGATTTCACTGAAAATTATTTCATTTGTAATAGTTGGTAATTTTCAAATCTATTCATTCAAAGTGTGCATGACGTTGTAGCTATTAAATAGTCTGAAATATTCTACATACCACTGAGATCAAGCGATTTTATTCTTAATCTCTAGAGAAAAGTGATTTTAATTCCTGATGGACTGAAGAAATACATTTTTGTCTAGGTTGACAAATGTAGGAACTGTCCCTCTAAAGCTCTTTTACAATTATATGGTAATTTCTTATCAAGTGCGAATTCACCAATACTTATCTTAGTACAATTTGTGTAGAAGAATGATAAAATAGGTTTTGCCGTTTTCCTGGAGATTATGATTTTTTCTACAACTACTGTAGTTATTAAACAATATCAAAACTCATTATGCTAAGGGGAAACCAAGTTAAATATTTGGCGTGTTTATTTATTATTCTGCTGAGAACGCTATTATTATCACTATTATTATTATTATTATCATTAGTAGTAGTTGTTGTAGTTGTAGTAGTAGTAGTATTGGTATCGACTTTACTACTCAGTAATTTGCTTCAACAATTTCATCTTATGGGTTCTAACAAATTAAACTGATGCACATACGTACTGCGTTACGCGTTGTTAGCGCGAACAAGGATATAATCTGAGTCCAGATAAGCACTCCAGAAGAAGTGGTACTCTTCTATACGACGAGGTGAACGGTAGCTGATCGCTGTGATAAATCTTCGTTCAGGCTTAAGGTGCCGAGACAGAGAGAGAATACCAGGAAACATATCGAGGATGGTTGTGCTGAAAGTTGGTTCTAGCTAGAAACAGATGGTTTGTGCAAAGCTACAAGAGACACTATGACCTGCAATCAACGAGTTCCCATTGTCCACCTAGGTGGCTTTCCTCTGTGCCTAGATGCCTTACCTACTCATTCAGATATCAAACCAATATTACAATATCCGTCGAACACGATTCTCTGAGACCGTCTAACAGTTGGCACAATCCATCCTTGATTTTATCCGGTCTACAGTCTGTCGTGGCGTAGGCGGAAATGACAAAAAGATATCATTTTTCACACTGATTTCTCATTTTTATGTAGCTCTCTTATTTAACAACACGATCGGTTGTTAATATGTTTTCAGTCGATTAGTGCTGCCTCATATCTGGAGTTTAATGGTACACCAACCCTCGCAAAACAGGAAGATGACTCCAAATCTGATAAACGCATGTGAAACAAGGTTTTCGAAGTGACAGATGGAAATTAAATGTTCACTTCATTATGAACTTAAATACTAATCTTGGATAAACAACAGACATCGATGTTCAGGCTTTCTAAAGGCAGCCAAATTTATATGTTATACGGTATGCATTAGTGTGTGGACGTTGGAGGAGGCCAATTTTATATGGGACTCCTGGTTTCAGGAAAGCTGGTTCAAGATACGTATTTCATGATAGCATTTAACTTCCTACCATTCAGTGCCCTGAAAACATTTATATAGGATAAAATTTTCATCATCAACGAGCTTCTATGTGAGTTGATAAAATAACAGAATGCTCAAAAGTAGAAAAGGAATAGACGACTAACTCAATGTAAAGTGAAAAACAATGTTACTAAATAATTATGAATGTCGTTTGCACGAAAGTGAGTTGGAGCAAGGGTCTTTTCTCCAGTCGTAATCATTACGTTTATGTGTGGCCGAGATGCTGCTCGAGTGCCTGGTTTTCTCAGAGGACTTCTTCCCAAGCCTTTGTCCTCGTGGTCTAGTTTACAGGGTAATGGAGCAACGTTAGGAGACGCGATCCTAGGGTACCCAAGCTATTGGCTTCCGTCATACTTCGTAAGTTGTTCAAAACTCGAGAAAGACTGACTCGCGAGTAGCAGTCTGGGTTTCGTTCTGGTCGAGGATGTATTGATCATACCTTCACCCTCCGCCAAATGTTAGAACATCGCCATACTTATCAAAGGCCAACAATCGTAGTGTTTCTTGACATCAGGGCTGCCTTCGATTCGTTGGATAGGACTGTTTTCTGGGATTGTCTGTTGAAGAAGGGTGTGCCTGAGAAGTTTATTAACATCCTAAAAGCCCTATATACAAACACCTCAGGCGGGGTGAAGGCATACAACCACCTCTCTCCATTGTTCCATTCGAGCAGTGGGGTTAGACAGGGTTGCCCAATCTCACCATTCCTCTTCAACTTTGCCATCGACGACATTCTGGAAACAGCTCTGATGGATGTAAGTAATGGCTGTGTGGATCTGTTGCCTGGAGAAACTTCTCGACCTTGAGTATGCGGATGATATTGTCTTACTGTGCGATAATGCCCAAGGCATGCAATCCGCACTTAATCAGTTGGCAATCAGTGTCCGTAGGTATGGTATGGGCTTTGCACCTTCGAAGTGCAAAGTACTTCTACAAGACTGGCAGGATTCTAATCCTGTACTCACCCTGGATGGTGAGCAGATAGACGTAGTCGAGAAGTTCGTGTATCTGGGTAGCTGCATAAGTGCTGGTGGGGGTGTGAGTGATGAGATCAATGCACGTATAGTGAAAGCCAGAGCGGCTTATGCCAATCTGGGCCACCTTTGGCGCCTTCGTGATGTTAGTCTGGCGGTAAAAGGTCGGATCTACAACGCGTCGTTGATAGCAGTTTTGCTCTATGTTTGTGAAACCTGGCCTCTCCGAGTTGAGGATGTTAGACGACTCTGTGTTCGATCATCGTTGTCTCCGAAGGATTGCTGACATCCAGTGGCAATACCATGTTAGTAATGCAGAGGTTCGGCATCGTGTGTTCGTGCACAGACGATAATGCAATTTGTGTTACCATCTTGAAACACCGACTTCCATGGCTTGGACATGTTCTACGAATGTCGTCCGAAGAATTCCACGTCGTGCATTATTTACCGACTGTGGGACTGGTTGGAAAAAGCGGAGAGGTGGTCAGTATATGACATGGTGTCGTGGTATGAAAGAAAGCTGCAAAGGGCCGGCTTGTGTTGGTCCTTCACGACTCCCTGTTTGGGGTCCGAGAGATGATGCAACACAGTGGCTAGAGACGTTATCAGATATGGCTCCGAATAGAAGCCAGTGGCGATCCTGCTGTAACCTTCTTTTACTTTCTTCATAAAAAATAGTTGTAACTTCCTTAACTGAAAGACTTATTTTAACACATAGATATTGGTACAAGAAAGCACCAAATACATATGCGCCACACAAATCTTATTCGATATGTGCGAGGGCTGTGATACTGCCCGGGTGCCCAAACCGAAGCAGGTGGTTTTCTTAGGGGGCCACTCCCCGAGCCTTTGACCTAGAGGTCTGACCCACAAGGCAGTGGAGCATCGTAAGGAGATGCAGTCCCATGGTAGCCAGTGACCAACGATTGGTTCATACGCCATTTGTTCCCGCAGGATACTGGAGCCCATGTGCACCATTGGTTTGGGATCCGGTTAAAGCGCCGGACATTCGCTTTTCGTCCTCTCATTTTTGTAAATAACACCCCCGCCACGAGAAGGCAGTGAGTAGGACTTCCCTGGCAGAGGCTATATACGCGTGGCCATGTGAGAGCATTTCGAGAGGGAGAGCGGACTTTCCCCACTCTCGGCCGTACCAGGGCATTTGGGGGCGAAAAACTTCTTCTGATTGTACTTTTCTGTTCCCCGATTATTACCACTATTATTATTACACTACCTTACACCAATCTGTTCATCATTGTTTTTTACCCTCCTTACCTTTTTTCTTTTTCCTTCTCTTTAAATTCTCATTGTTTTGTGTGGCGCATATATATTTTGCGCACTCTTGTACCAATATGTATGTGTTCAAATAATAAATAAAACCCGGTGACTAAAAATAGACTTATACGCTACTCGGTCCGTCACGATTCTGAAACCCATGTGTAGCATCGGTTTGGTATATAGGTTTTTCCAACTCCCCTAGGTGAATTCTCCATGCCCTGTAATCCAGTTTAAGAGCCAGGCATTTGCCTTTCATCCTACCACTTCCACGATAAGATAGTAAGTAGGACTCTTCTAGCAGTGGCCATATGAAAGCGTTTCGAGGGGTAAATCGGAAATATCTCCACCTTTTCCCTACTCGGGCATTTTACCTAACATGACAGTTCAAACATTTGTGTCCGTTACCAACTTTAAAGCAAACACAGAATGGGTATTTGTGATGACGACACTATTTGAGCTTAGTTCACTATGGTGTAGTTTATTTACAAACCATATGCTTGTGTACTCGGCTTTGTATGTAAGGGTTAATGCTACTACCCGGTTGCCAAAACTGAAGTAGATGTTACGGGGTTTGAGCTTGCTACGTGGTGGTTGAGAACTAAGTGCTTTCACTACCGAATACCCACTTCAATCTAACAGTTAACCTCATAAGAAGTCTTCACATGAAAGCAATGACATGTAGTCTTTTATAGGTGTTCACCATCAACTTTCTTGTTCAGCTTTGTTGTACATGTACTAATTAAGGTAATGAAATTGTACAACAGTTGAGATAACTTGTTTTTATGTTACTTTCCCCATGTCACCATCTTCTTAAACATCCAGTACTGGCTGATAGAACACTGATGGAACAGCTACTATTTATCTAAATTTTAGTTATTAATTTAGTTGTTTGAAAATAATCTAGTTTGGTTCTTATTAGCTCAGGTATTCAAATAACGACATGAGCTGCCGAAATTGCTAGCCAAAGCACATATTACCGGCATGATTTTAGTTTGCGTGTTTATGTACATGTTAATATTTACGTATGTTTCTAATTCGTTCATCATCATCATCACTGGAGATAGATGGGAGCCTGGCACTGTTGTTTCAAAACAATTATCTTACAGACGACTTTTCAATATCAGGTACCGAATTATCATCTAATCCTTAGATTCATCTGTATTTATTAGTTATCGTAAAATTGAAAGTAGAACCTACAGGCTTCAAAACATATACCCCCATCATTATAAAAAGGATGTTATCATTGTTCGTTAACTAAATTCTCACATTTTTTTCGTGAATTCTTCCAGTTTTTAAGTGCTGTCTGTACTCTGTTTTCCATCATTGAATCACATGTCTGAACCGTATCTCACGTATTTCGCTATTCGGGCAATACTTCTCACAAAGCTTAATGCAAAAATGTGTACTTAATTTGGGAGGTTCATTTTTCAGACCAAAAATGTGTTGCGCTGCATAAGTTTATACTATAGTTTATCGCGTTTAAAAGTGACACAATCATAATACTGTTATTTGTAATCATGTCTGTTATTACGTTGTTATGCAATTTTGTTCCTATATATAGCTTCTTTATTTAGTCTGTATATCGGATGTAAACTATGAACGGTTAGAACGGGTGACTGATCCAGTAAATAATATATAACCAAATGAATATGACAGTTTGAACTTGTTAGCCTAGTAGGGAAGTTAGTTGTTCTGGTTATTTCAGTCAAACAGAGTAGCAATCATATCTCTCATGGTCACAAAATTCTAAATTAGATTTTATTCAGTTAAGCGACTTACCAACTACTATGACAAGTTCAAACTACCGTATATGTTCGATTATGAACCTTATGGTGGTTACTGAATCTCAAAGTTAATTTACGTTCACGCCGTTTGTGTTCTAGCAACACCCATCTGAACCGTATTCACAGATACAAAACAAAACAGATATCCCTTTTATTTTTAAACCTTCGCCATTTTCTTCATTTTAGGTAGTCAAGTACTGCCTTTAATCCACATACTAACGATATGGCTTAAAACTTACTGTATTGTTGTGTGTCTGTTCACTAGGTTGCTTAAATGCAGTAGTGTTTATTTTGCGTAACTTAGTTATCTAGACAGTTTGTGGTCATTGGACTACAGTTTCACAACTTAACTAACAATTTTTTAAAATTATTTTTATTTTAAATTTTATTATTATCATTATTTATTTTATTCTATCTGTGTTATCGTCAACCTTCGGTTTGGGCACCCGGGCAGTATCATAGCCCTCACACATATCGAATGGGATTTGTGTGGCGCATATGTATTTGGTGCTTCCTTGTACCAATGTCTATGTGTTAAAATAATAATAATGTAATAAATCGTTAACCTTATTTCCACATCCATTATTTGTTTGTAATTTTCCGCCTCTTTGTATTCTTCACTATTTATTTATTTGGCCTGTCGACTGGAGTATTATTGTTAGTCTATTTGGTTAGATTTGTTTCCCTTTCACTTAAATATAACATTTTCTAACTAATAATTTGTTCCGTTCCTTTAGATATCGAAATGGTCGCGTTGGAATTTATTTCTCAGTTAGATAAACTACACTTTGTTGATTCTGTCGGACTAGATGATTTCGCAGATCGATGCTCCTATATGTTATCATTTGTCATTCTGGTCATGTGCTTTACTATTGTTACACTGAAATCTTATGTCTTTGAACCGTTGTCATGCTATATTCCAACTACCTTCTCGGGTTCTAATTTGGGATCGTACATAAATGCATTTTGCTGGATTAATGGAACTACACCGATAAGTGTAGATACGGATCAGCTAGATAATCCAACGTACTGGAGTAGTTTAGAAGATAAAAAAATCAGTAAGTCTTTTTCTCTTTTGATTATATTTAGCGCCATAATATATTTTCGTTCGCATAGTTTTTAACCTAGATTTGTTTTGACATGATTTTCTAGATTAACAGAGCTTTGGAATTAAGTTTAGATTCAAATGGTTCAGGTATAAAAAGTAATCAAGAGTCTTACGCACTTTTGATTTTGAAAGTCTTTTCTAACTCTTATATAGGTTAACTTCACAATTCATGTAATAGTATAGGATGTGGGAGTTTTCTACCAAAAGAATTTGAGTAAATCTTAGTATCTAATGATTGACGTATTATAGTGTTTGAGCAGGATGCTCATTCAATCTGCTATAGTAGATAAGCTGCTAATGAGATCGAATTACGATCAACTGACTCGTAGGTTAAAGCCTCAACCCACCTACTTCAGTTTGGGTAGCGTAGACAACTGTTCATGACTACTTGATGATGATGATGATGATGATGATGATGATGATTGTGGTAGCTTTCCAAGTTTCAGCTCCTAACAGTAGAATTGTCTTGAAGATTGTGACTTTGATGTTGATTGATAGTTGTTTTGAGCTGTAGATGTTCTTCAGTTGTAGGAACGCGATCCTTGTTTTGCCAATCCTCGCCTTTACGTCTGCATTGGATCCTCATTGTTCATCAATGATGCTGATCAGGTACGTGGAATTTCCACATCTCCCAGAGTTTCTCCATCAAGTGTGATTGGATTGGTGTTCTCTGTGTTGTATTTGAGGATGTTGCTTTTTCCTTGTGTATGTTGAGACCTAATGATGTAGAGGATTCTGCTACACTGTTTGTCTTCATCTGAATTTGATCGTGTGTATGGGGTGGAATTGCCAGGTCATCATCTGTGAAGTGACGAGTTCTATTCGATTGATAGTTCAACGATGATGCGTATTGTGGTGATTTGGTGTGTGCATGACTAATCCTTATGGAATCCAACCTGTTGATCTCGAGGCTGTGCACTTACTGAGTCCTTCATCCGGTTCGGCTTTCCTTCTTTGTCTTTGACCGGTCTTTCTGGTTTACCACATTTCCCTACCAGTTTCTTCGTCGTGTCATATAGTTGTTTGGTATTCCCTTCTCTTGCATCATTTTCCTCTGTCACTGCCAAGTGTTCCTTGTATTTCTGTTTGTCAGCTGTAATGCTCTAATGCTCACTCTCTTGTTTGCTTCAGTGTATTCAGCTTGTGTGTTGACTTTCTGTGTTCTCGTTCGACTGTTGTTAATTGTTACGCTATTGTTCTTCGTTTCTTGAATCTTGTCCACGGTTTCGATGTAGATCCATTCCCTACGATGATGATGATGATGATGATGATGATGATGATGATGATGACGATGATGCTTGTTGCGACCCAGAACCTCCTGACACGTTGAAGTTAGTGTATCTTCGACCTCTTTCCAATTGTCCTCCATCGTAGTTTTCTCTTCTTTGAGTAGATCATGTAGTGCTTGCAACCTGTTGTTGAGAGCTATGTTGAATTGGTTGATTTTGTCAGTGTGTTGAAGGAATTGTGTATTGAACCTTCGTAATGCTGTTTGTCCAGTTGTCCAGTGTTTCTTTCGCCTCAGTTTCATCTTTACAACGACGAGTTGGTGGTGGTGATCTGAAGTAATATCAGCTCCTTAGCTGGTTTTCACATGTTCCATTGACCTGCTGAATATTTTGCTGATGCGAATATGATTGATCTTGTTTTTCACAGTGTGATCCGACGAAACCAATTTAATTTTGTGTAAACGTTTGTGTGGAATATAGTGACACCTATAACCGATTTTTTGGACTCACATGAATTTGCAAATCTCTTAACACTTTCATCCCCTTCTCCTAGTCCATGTCGTTCCATGATATCTTGATATCCGATGTTGTCCATTCCGACTTTGGTGTTTAGGTCTTTCATCATGATGATGAAATCATTTTCTTGGGCACTTCGATAGATTTATTGCAGCCTCTCATCAAATTAATCTTTATTGTAGTTTTTGTTATGATTGATGGGTGCATAACAATGGATAACGCTCATTGTGATTCCCTCCTTTGTTTTGAGGGATGTTTAAATGATCCTAAACTCCATTATATTCCCACCCAATAATTTCATTTCGTGGATTTTTGAATAGCATCACAACAACTCTGTAAGTGTGTGGAGCATTTTGCTCTTCGTAACCGGAGTACAACATCATTTCTCCCATATCTGGATCAAATAGGTTTCACTGTCTATGAGTACCTCTCAGTTGTATCTCCTCATTTCTGTATCTACCTGACTTTTCCTTGCGGTCTTCCACATTGTGCGGACATTCTATGTACCTATAATAATTGTTGTTGTGGTTGTCAGAAGGGGAGTAGGCCTCGTGATTTCCGTAGAATTCCGGTTTTCATCATGAGGTGTCATAACTTTTCTGTACATAGAACTCCCTTGACTGGGTTTAAATGGTTTGTTTATATATTGTTTTTTGTTAGTGTGTTTTTAGTAAGTTTTTTCTGTGATGTGGTTGCTGAAATCATGCCAAACCCTCCTCCTTTACCTGGTCTTGGGACCGGCAGTATCATTAGCAGAGCTACAGGCGGTGCTACTTGGAATGCGGATCTCAATAATTAAACTTAGCTGCTTTGGTTTGTGATTAAGCTCTATAGTGAGCAGTACATAAACAAAACCTATTTGATTGTATCTTGTACACTGTTCAACCTAGTTGCTGTCTACGAACCTGTAAGGATCTCGATACAGCTATTTCCAGTTTCACTTCGCACCTTTCTGGATAGCTTACATGCGTGATGAGGATTGAATATAATTCAAGCACATCACCTACACGTCTGAATTTCTAAAATAATTTCGTGTGAAAACCTTAATGGATAAAAAGGAGACTGACGTTTTGTAGTCGTCATGAGAATTTTACGATGCAACAGGGTTAGGAATCTGAGTCTTCCTTATTGATTAGGCTTTTGTTAAGATGGTCGAACAACGGTAGGGGATGTTTACCTAACTTTCTACGTCTCTGAATTGCCATATTCATTGAAACTGCCCAAAACGAACTATATTTGACTCACGATATCTTGAACCGGTCCATTAGAAAGTCACGGTTTATTTTCCTCAAATCATTTTTCGTGGCAATATTTCATTACTTATTGAAAGACCAGTTGAGGTAAGATCGTTAAAGATTATTTCTTCAGGTTATTATCTCTGATTATCCTGCTATATATGCTGTATTGTCTTCACTGTTCCTGTGATCCAATAGTTGACATTTTCTGGAGAGTAGTGCCGGGTCAGTGATCCGATTGACTCAGAAGTTGTTTATATCTTCTGTAACTTGTCAAAGTGACGAATTAAAACCTCAAATTATTTTGAGCACATTTTTAATAGGGTTTTATGTAACATAGTTTTAATGGTACATCATGGAAGATATACCTAATAGAATATTTGGAAAATGTGACTATTGTAAATCTCCGTTGTGAATACAGTGTGCGATCAGTTTTGTCTGGTTGGTTCATTACAGTTTTATGAATACATTTGAGTTTATTTGTAGAACGTTGTTCTATCGGGTCCGTCTAATTATCGGGTAACTATAGTGCGTTGACTTTTACTGGATTTTGTTTTGTTTTATGAAACGAAGTAGATTTTTGTCCTTCTACACAATCCTACTGAAAAAGACTGATCGTTGGATTTCATCATAATTATCCCTAATTTCAATTATCCTCTTTATTTTTTTTCAGATTATTATCAATGGGTTTCACTGGTTTTGGCATTACAAGCTATTCTGTGCTACCTACCTCGCCTTATTTGGGAGGCAATTACTTTCAATCGTGTTGGAACGAATTTAGGATTCTTGCTTGAATCAGCGCGAGAAGCTTCAAAGGAAACTGGAAAGGAAAGATCAAATCGTGTTCAATTTATAGCAAATGTTATGGATACATTGTTGTTTGCTCGTCGTGATCTACGTAAATTAGAAAATGGTCTTAAAGATCAAAATTTTTTGAACACAATTTTTCATACTATTCAAAATTTGCTTCCGCGTAAAAGGCTTGGTACTGCGTTAGTCACATACTACATGATAATCAAATCATTTTATTTGCTAAATGCAGTTGGACAACTCTTATTGATGGAACGATTTTTGGGTGTCCGTGGAGAATATCGCCTATTTGGCTTATCAATTTTAAGTGATTTGATTATGGGTAGACATTGGAATGAAACTAGTGTCTTTCCTCGAGTGGGTTTTTGTCGTGTACCAATCAAATTGACGAGCACACCTATACCTATGGTCACTGTACAATGCACATTGCCAGTTAATATGCTGAACGAGAAGATTTATGTGTTTTTATGGTTTTGGTTTGTGTTTGTTGCTTCTCTGGAGGTTGCGAGTATTGGAGTTTGGATTTGTCGTTTGGCCGCACGGCAATCGAGATTGAGAAGTTTAATTCGATATTTAAAAGTTGCAGATGTTTATGAAGAATCAATGGATCCATTACTTGCTCGATTCGAATTGACATTTCTTCGAATGGATGGCAGTTTCCTTTTACAAATGATGCGTTTAAATGCTGGAAGTCTTATCACACAAGAAATCTTACAAGCAATGTTGAAGCGTTACACAGAACAAGAACAATATGCTCAGAAAAAACGCGTTGAACGACAACCTTCGGGACCAAAATCTGTAGAAATGGAAAAAGATGGTCTACTTCCTGACTCTCCTGATTGTACTGTAACAAAGCGTTTAGATGTTGTTTAGTTCAGTAAATAATTTTCCAGTATGAAGATTGAATGCATTGCAAAAATTCATTTCTACCTTTTGTATTACTTCTTTCTTTTCATTTTTCATTTACAGTCTCATCGATCTGATTAATATAATGGTTTTTCTGGTAATCTACATTCAGTTTAATTTACGAAGCTCAGGGTCATTCCTAACTATTTTCCCCTATGTTTTTTTCATAATAAAAGCTTCAAGGTCATGATTTGTTTTGACTTTTCATTCTTTATACATTATCGAGCTGTAACGTATGTGTATATGATACCATTAAGCGGCGTTATGCTTTTGGTAACAAACTGGTTACCAATCACTGACCGAATAAAATATTGGTTTTCAAAGTGTATTTATCGTTGGTTATAAAGTTTTCATTTTTTCGCTAACTTGCTTGTTGAGATATACAAGCTGTCAATAATCCCAGTCGTATAAGGTTCAAAAGCTTTGACTAAGTTTTTAAAAATCGGTGGTCTATTTCTTGCGGAATGTAAGTATTTTTTAGGTTTATATTGGTTTCGTTTTTACAGGGATTGATTTTTCATCTTATCAACATAAGTTTTGAGGAAAGTCAGAACAGAAATTTGAGCAGCATAAAGTGGTTTCATTTTATCTCGTTAGTTCCTCATCAGCTGCTTACAACATGAAATATTAAAAAATCAAGATTATAAAGTGAGTTGAAAATATTGACATAAATGAGTTTGGTTGGAAATTTGTTGTGATTACACAAAACATAGTAAATACGTAAATAAATTCAAGAGGCTGAATAAAAATGTCACAAATAATTGTCATCTGTAGGGGAACATTTTGTAGCACCAATATTAACAAAAGATAAGATGGCTAGAAATAAGTAAAAACTATTTCGGTTAAACATAAAATTATTGAACTAGAAGGTCGTCAAAATAATAGTGGAACAATGTAGCTAATTGAGAGTTGAAACAGCTTTTATGGTGTACCGAGGCAGGGCTTATGTTACCATAGCAGAGAGTCTAACAACTATTCTTCTCGAACACTTGGTAGCGCTAACTTGAGAAGTCTAAGAATTGGTTATTCACCAGTTGCATTGAAGGATTTAAAAGTATCCACAAAACATTCTGTGTCCAATAGATTTGGAGATCACGTTATTCAAAGTACTCTATCTCAATTGAATGTTTTTAAGAACATGTTCAAAATATCTGAAATGGGACCCCCTTTTTGTCCGATCAATGTAGCTACTTTCCCAATTACCTATATGCTTATAAACGCGTGGCCGTAAAATGAAGAGGATGATGTTAATCTTTGGTTGAATCATTTAATGTTATTTTTTGTTGAATCAGTTCGGCTACGGAGCGGATTCTGTTTAATTCAGTGCTAAGTATCTTAATAATTGTTCATGCAACATGATCACCTGTAAAATTGAGATGAATAAGTTATTCAAGTCAATAAAAGACCTATCTTTGGGTCAAATGTCTCAAACGTACAGCTAACCAACGGCTTTGAAAAATGTCAGAGTTCCCATCAAGGTTAGTAGTGACTACAGAAATTTGTGAAATCCCCCAGAGATAAATGTTAGTCGAAAATAAACATTTAAAGCCAGAATGAGGCTAATAAAATAGTTGCATCTATCCCTTCCTTTTAGAGAATTCTAGAAGTCAATTGGGTTACTGTTATAATGGGATGAGGAGGCGAAATCACATTTTTAACTTACTGTGATTCTTGCTCAACATTACTTCCGTTTTAAATTCTATGTGATGATTATTCAGAGTAATATTTGTTTCTGTTTTCCAGTGTGATACTTGGTATAATATTGATTTATTTGACCGTGATATTATTTCAAAATACAATATTCTTGTATAAAATTAATATGAACTATGTTCAGTATGATAGACAGCATGTGATTTTATAACCCTGGGTATTTGTTATATGTGATTTTATCGTAATTAGTACACAAAATGGGTGTACAATCACAATATAAGAAGTGTAATTTCGACTAAGATCATCGTCGTGTTTTGTGTTTAATAAATCTCCACTTTTACCAGTCTTGTTGTCCCTACTTCGTGTCGTGGGGATTTCAGTTATTCCTCGTTCTTTCAAGTATATGTAATAGACGACGCGGGTTCAACAGTTAGTGACACTACTTTTCTAGGGCTTAACTATGTAGATGAATGAAGTAACTATCATTATCCAATGCACGATCACACTGCGTGATATGTTGCTTCCTAAGTGTTCTATGTCCATGAAATATGCGTGTAAATGATACGATAGGTTGTTTTTGGTTAGCTTGTAATTATGCTGCCCACGTCGAATGAATAATTGTGCTTTTAACCTCTAAACTTACCATTGATATCATAGTTTCATGATTTTCAGTACAAAATGTATTATTTATGTAACCATGGTTTTCAACGCCTCTGATCAACTTATTGATAATAAATTCTAAATGAATTAATCATAAAGTAATTTCAAATCGTTTTCGTAAAAGTTTTCTTTGGATGTTCATGTGATTAATTCAGAGGTGAGGTCTAGAAGACGTGAGTTCTTTATTCAGTAATGTTGTAAATATTATTTGAACAGACGGTTGATAACAGTTAACGGTAGGTGGGGATTCGACAGATAGGAACAGGTGGTTGAGTACCTGTTTTTATTTTTAACTTGTGGCAAGCCCATTTGGCTACTGTATCATTTATCTAGTCATTTTAACTCAGACTCAATCACTATGTTAATTTCGGTGTGTATGATCGAATGTATGTCTGTACATTAACTCTTAAACGATTTTCCTATTGGTTTCAATGTGCAGATAATCGATAATCTATCCACACCCGATTAACTCTCAAATATATATGGATTTTTAACAGACTCACTCTCTTGTTCCATCGTGTGCTTGCTCACCGTACGCTTGTGGATTATCATTATTCATTAACAATAAACTATCTCTATAACTGGTGTTCAGGCTTTTTAATAATCTCGAGTAAATTCGTAATTCTACTAGGAGATTAAGCCTACCTAAAATACTCAGTTACGGAATATTATTATTTGGAGTCAGATATTGAGGACATTACCCTTAACAAACTTAGTAGTATGCATCTAATCAACGGCTTTTTTGAGTTCTTAGTACTATCGAATTTCAATTTACAGACATGGTGAACTTTCTAAATGAGCGTTAGTTTTGAGAGCTGCAACGCTCATTGAGTATTTGTTTTTTAGACTAATGCTCTAAGTGCATGATTAGTTGATTGGATGGAGAATGTTGGCTTGAATGACTGCACCAGGATTTATATCAAACAAAAAGTATTTATATTGAGGGGAAATTCAGACTCATATTTTAAATTAACAATCTTCTAATTATACATCTGATATAATAACCAGCTGTTAACTGAATTTCGATTGCATTTTAATCATTTTGAAGTGTCATTTTCACTTGTATGAGTATTTGAGTTATATTATGTCACACTGGTAAATCTTCGTCGATTGAATCATTTTACAAAACTAGTTATGTAAGTACAAACAGAACTGGTATTTTTCTTCCAACTACAATCTACACCCTTATATGAATAACAGATTTTGATAAACAGTCCAACTTCTAAACGAGGAACTACATTTACGTCTAGTCAATAGATAAGTAGGATATAAATAATTAGTTTTTCTCAGTCTGTTACAGCGAGTCGATGTCAATTTTTACACGGCAAATAGTCAGCAGTGCACGCTGAAAAATTTCCAGCTAGCCGTAAGTCATTAACTTGGTTGATTAGTAATATGGTGTATCCTAGTGACTTAACTGTGAGGGGATTTTTCTAGTAGGTATGGTTATTAAACCAAGCCTCTCAGATCCCCACCTATGACTGAGCTAAATTTTCACTACTTCATGAAATTACGTAAGCGTAGATTATCGTGACTTGGATTGCTGTCAGATAGTTTTGTTTTTGACTACATTTTTACTCCCAGCCGCTCAATTTTGAGATAAAAACTAGAACTAAATGTACTCAGTTTACTTTCATCACGATGAAAATTCACTTTATTTGTGTATAAGCTCACGACCTAGTCTGTGCTTTGAGCACTTCGGTTCCTGTCAGTCTTAGGTTTTGACTTTGCGGATTTGTGTACATTACTTATTTTTTCGTTTTTCATACTAAAGTAGTTTCAAAATGAACAAGTAGTTAATACAGTGATTACTAGTCTTTTGATATCTAAGTACCTGAAACCTGGTCTCATACTCAAAATCAATAAACATTTGTTTGTTAACTGTTTCTATTCTTTTTCTGCAAAATCCCAATTTATGCCTGAATCATTTCTCATTTTAGGTAGTGAGTATGATCATAAGTAAATTCCCTTAATCCCATCGTAGAAAAGATTATTTTTTAAAAACAATATTCTCAAAATGTGTTTAGATTATTAACCGTTTTCTCTAAACATCCAACTCTGATCGATAGAATTCCCATTCGAAGTCATTCATGAAAATCAACTGAGATATGGTTTTAATAAAAAAAAACTGAGTGTACTATTGATGTATGCCACTAGTTAAACGACACCATCCACGTCAACCAATAGATTTTTTACCGGAAAGAATGTAATGATTCGAACACTATACTGTTTTTCTGCCTGTTTTTAATTATTCTGATCTTAATTTATTTTTTGTGTTTGACAGTGTAGTTTCGCTTTTTGAAAGTTCGATGGAATGACACAAAGGCCAACATAAAGAATGTAAACTAATCCCATTTATTCCCTAACACAACTCCCAAAGATCATAAAGACAATAAGAACTTGACAATTTTATAACCACTTCAACTAATGATGACCAATTGTAAGATGGGGGAATATTCCAAGCAAAAACATAGTGTCAGGAATATTACTGGATAGCTACGTTTAGGCCCAAAATGGACGTTTGTCCGGTACAATGATTTTCAGTGTTTATATGACTAATATCAGCTGGTAATACATAATAATTAATTTTACATTGACTGAAGAAATTGTGATATTTGTATGTAACCCTGATTTCTTTGTACATTTATTCCGCGCCTATTATGAAGTCCATGTGCAATACCTTCTACGAGTTTTCTGAAACTTAATTTTTTTTAATTTAAGGATAGTGTTATTGTAAAGTGATTCATTGAGCTAACTATATCTTTTTCATCTGGCAAATTTGTCGAAAATTTAACATTAATCCCAACTAATTAATAAACCATATCATTATACTGGCAATATAATTGTAAAATAGAGAGTTATTCCCGTGACCCAGATATT